CTACCGTAATCCTACAACTGATGAAAACTGGTGGATGATTCGCTCAGATGCAAATCTTCTATGTTAAAGCCTTCTCCACTGAATGGATTCAAAGCTAAAAAAACACTTAGTGGGAACAGAGTTGTCAAATTAAAAAGTGCGTACTTATCTTTGGGACACCTTGTACCTTATTCACTAAAAAGCAGCATTATAGGTGCCCTAGATTTTGAGAATTATCAATTTGAATGTTTGAATATGAAAAGACTTATGGAAAACCTAATGTTATAGAAAGCTTGACAAATTAAGTTTGATCGAAGCGAGAAATGAATAGTACTAAATGCTAGATAAAACGATTAACAAATATATTATATCGCCGATCTGAATAGGTTCTTTGGATGTTACATCTAAACCTTGAAAGGTGCACTTGGTTTTGCCACATTCATTTACATAAACGAACAAAATGTTGTGATAGAAAACTCTTCAGTGATATAGAGCCCCTTCATCACACCAAATCTAAATCTACCATTCTTGCGCAAGCTTGATTGCGTAATGTTGACAACGTACACATCTTTCTTGTTTTAAGAATTCAAGTATAAAGCTGAAACATTTTTCTAAATTCGAATGTCGAGGAATCCTAGAGAGGGAAGAAAAATTAAAATTTTTATGTAAAGGAGAAGGGATTGAGAAGCTAACAATAATACAACTTTTCAAAACGCACCTCATTCTCAGTTTTCGTGCGTACTGAATACTTTTTGTGGTACTGATCCACATTTTCATATGAATTGCAGGTTAATGACAGTTCTGAATAACCGGAAATGCGTATACCAACAGTAACCAAATTCATCAATTAACTGCCGCATCTCGAAGCATTTGGATAGAGAAAAATTGAATTTCTCTAATGAGCTGAGTTTATCTGCTTGCAGATTTGAAAACTACTTTTCGTTCTTTATAAAATTATGACTAACTGCCATCTAAATAAAACGAACTAAGGATTTTTCCTTTCCACAAGCGAATATGCAATTCTCCAATTTCCGCTTTTCTCAACACGATCGAAAAGACGTAGAGAGGGCAGAAAACTTTAGATGTGGGTCCATGTAGAACTTCGTTCGGTACCATGCCTTTTTGATGCAAGATGGAATGAATGCACTAAAATAGGAAAATATGGATATTCGAATGGAATACTTGCTTCCAATCGCGAAGCAAACAACCGAATGCATACGTTGGAAATGAACGTCGTAAAAACAAAAAATCGAGATACTGACGCTGTTTTTAGATCTCAAGTTTCGATCCATATTTTATACAAGCACAATAGCTTGCAATCCCGAATTCAAAGCACTTTAGCGCAGATAATAACAAAGTTGTTCAAAAATTGACAAGTAGCATAGGTAAGGAAATGGTACAAGAAAAGACAAAAAAGGATAAATGTTCCGTCCTCGAGAAAAGGTAAGCTATGCATATATCGGAGACCTGAACCGAATTCGTCTGTAACTAAAAGGTGCTGCATAAGTTTTAGCTGTTATGCAAGCTTCAAGTTTAAAAGATTATGACTTTTTCCAAAATATCTTCCCAATACCTCTGTGGATTTGGCAAGCTTGTGGGTATCAGATAGATAGTAAGCCCTATAAATACGCCAATGAAGCAGAAGCAAGCTCAAAAATTTTGGAAAGTAAAATTTTCTTCAACCTTATCCTTTTTTGAATATGGTGATGCTCCTTTATAAGGAGTGGCAACATAATTATAAATAGCTACCAGTGGTAGGTAGCGACTATTTGAAAACTATTTAATGACCAAAATATTTCAGTCCGGCCCAAAATTTTTTTGAGGAATTAAAAAAGTTATTTCTGGCCATTTGTACAATGAAATATGCCCATTTTCACATCATTATTTAACAAGTGCTGCGAACGGCGAGACATAGTTGGTAAATGGTCCCTTCCAGCTTTTGCTGTACTCTATCACCTATAAGTTTCGAGTCTCCAACTGTCTAGAGAGTCAAATAAGTCACTGATTGCCTATAGTTCATTTACATAAATAAGGTTTTAGCAACAATTTCCACAAGTAAGACTTGGATTGAGCAAGATTTTATCCATTATATAGGTATTAAACCCTAAAAATCTAAACGAAGCAAGAGCTCAAAAGTTTTGAGACGTTTTTTCAAACCTGTCTTTATTACATAGAAGTGAATTTGCGCATATGCCTTTGAACTTACTCAGCACCAATACAATGGCTTGACTCGACGAGCGGATTGCGGCACTTTTCTTACAAGAATAGCTGTATTTTTTTATGTAGTACCGTTCTTTGGCCACCTGAGATCTTAGGCTTGAAACTTTGTTAGACTAAGAAGCAAAAAAGAAAGTTTTTTGGTTATAAAGATAACCGCATTGGAGGATGAAATCTCTCCAAACAGCTGCTTCGAACACAAAGCAACAAAAACAAATAGACTTATGCACCAACCTACTAATTTGTGAATGTTTGAAAAATCCATGTTATGCCTACTTTTTGCAGTCTAATTTGCTATCGCCTGAAGTTGTCTTATTCGTGTTCTTCATATTTTAACCCATGCGCTGTAAAAGCCCTGTAATATACCTAGCCATCAGCACAATATTCGTTGAGAAACTAGCCATTGGAGGAGAAGCCAAGTGAAAGAGAGGAATTCCTTCCAGGGCAACCCGGTCAGCCCTGGAACAGACAGGACAACACGGTCCCAGTGGTACAGGCTACTTACGCTCCTATTGAATGCCTTCCACAGAACACCACCTGCATTGATTGCCCACCAGGACCACTCAGGTTCACCCGGACAAGATGTCCAGAGTGGAAATCCCGGATTATGTGGGCAGCCAGGACCTTCTGGAGCACCGACGAACGATGCAGCCTAGAGCGCTAAACCCCCTGAAGACGCAGGCTCTCCTGGAAGCACCAGGAAATCCAAGACAGGATGGTATCGCCGGTACCGTAGGTGTGCCTAGAAGCGTGCTAACTGAGCCTCAAGGTCCACCTGGTGATAACGGAGCACCTGGAGAGTCCAGATGCTATGCGGCCGGAACAACTCGGACCAGCTTGACAACCTGGAATACCATGTGTACTGGAAGAGATGCCTACTGTACTTTCCCTAACCACTCTACGCTTATGTTAGCCCTAGTCCAAGTCCTAGCCAAGCTCCGGCAGCGGCTTATTCAGTCAAGGCTAAGAAACTCAAGAAGCATTAAGCACCTCTTTTGGACCCTTTTCGTGTCTTTTTAATAATGTTCGCAAATAAAGATGCTTTGCACTTGAACAAAGAGAAAAGAAAATTCGCAACATTTTGTCATAAGAGATTCTGAATGATATCACAGAATTAAAAAAGTTATTGATATTCATTACCACTCAACTACAAAGCCCTGTATGGGTCGCGGAACTTTTCAAAAACAACTCATGCTCTTGATGATTGCTAATAACATGTGGATTTCCACAATGCGCATTTTCTAATTTCTTTCAATAGCTATTTGGATTTTTTTAATTTTTAGTACCAGGATACCACATAGCAAATTCTGCAATGTTTTTATGTAGCGCAAAATTTATTCACACTCGGTACGTCAACCACAGGAAAGGCGAAATGTAATATATCACTGTGGCACTATGTTCCACAGACAAATATTAACCATCTTGAGCATTGTCCTGGGATCTCAAATTCAATCATTGGTAGTAGGAAAAAACGAATTTGAAACATACAACAAAGTTTCGCCAGAAGCAGCTCAACATGACCAACTTACTTTGTTGGTAGTACCATACTGTACTATTCTTCCGAAGTTTTCCTGTAGCTTTAGCAAAATGTTCCTTGCGATGTTCCAATATGATTGTGACATGAAAGAATTGCTAGACTAACTGTTGGAAGAAGTGGTTCCAAAAGAGGACGAACAATCACGCCCATTTTCTTACCATGAGAAGAACAGTGCATGAATGGCCTACACTCTGAGTTTGGCTGTAAGGTCATTGGTAGGATAGAGTACAAAACTAGCAGATTACACAAGTCATTTATACAGATATCTCGGATGCTATTAAGTTGGCTAGTAAGAACAATTTTTCTTCTAATCTTTATTTAGAAAGATCTTAGAAAATTGGTTGAGAAAATTTGACTATTTTTCTTTAATGAACCATTTCGTCATAAAATTAACCTTCTTTCAAACATTTATTTGAGGGTACGATTCTGCTTGTTGTTCTTTTGAACTGCCATGCATTCATATATTTATCAAATTGTAACACGAACGTCAAAAATGACCGAACTTACTTTTTATCCAACTTAATAGCTTGCTTCTTCAAAAATCAGTTTGTGAGTTTGTCAACAGTGGATGCAATACTCCTTGATGATACAAGCACAATTTATGTGTTGCGTTTGGATAGAATCAATTTTTTGAACAATAATAACCACGAGTTTTGTCCTTGCAATTTATTGATTACAGAAACCGCTGACATAATATAAGAGAGAAGTTAAAACCAAAACGCAAGCTCTTTTCTGTGAATGCTGCTGGTAATAACTTCTTTTAATTCATAAATTGTTACTGAGCAAGTAAAAAAATTTTATACTCATTTTTCTGGAATTATTAGAGCAAAAAATGACTCCATAGAGTAAAGAACGTTGCAACTTCCCACCATATTCTTACTTTAGCGAAAAGGAGACGATATACTTGGCAAGTAATACTTTTTCTATCAAAATCTTTCTTCAGTGTACTAAACCTCCAATTAACACTCATTAAGATATTTATTCGTGATCAGTTCCTGACTTGCGGTAAACTCGTAGGCCGTAAACTTTTAACAAACAAAAATTTTGCTAAATCTACATTTCCATATTTTTTTGGTGTTACGGCTGGCTTGGTTTGCCCTTGGGCGAGTTGTCAGAATAATCAACATTGAATTTAAAACCACATCGAGATTACCAAGCAACAACTGTTCCATGGAGACTCCAAGACTACGCTGATTCTGAGTTAGCAACGACTCTCGGAGGGATTCAGAAGTGGCTTTGCGTTTGCCAGCGACTGGTTGCTCGGACCATGAGATCTGCGATCCTCGTCGTGCTCGCCGTGCTTGTATTACAGGTAAGCTTCGGCATGGTACCATATGCATTATTAGAAGTTCAGGTGGAATGGACTTTGCCTTGTACCTTCCAACGAGAGGATGTGCTGCACGTTGAACATTTGCATGGATTTACGACTACCGAAGCCAACTGCTTTGCTAAGTGTCTCAATCAACAAATGTGCATAGGCCTTTGCTATGGGCAGGTAAGCTGTAAGACAGTGCTAGGTGAAATGCAGATTATCTACTCGTTAGATTTTGACGGCAACGTTCTGGTAACTCAAACAATTGACCGGAGCTTTCGCAGAGCGTTTGGGGAAGTTCATCCGGGTTACCTGCGGAAGTTTCGCGGACGTGCTGCGGAATTTCCGGAACGGGGTGCTGCGGAAGTTCCGAAAAATGCGAATTACAGCGGCAAAAGAGAATACCTAAGCGAGGTTTTATTCATACTCTATTGACTGCAAGACTCCTGTTATCCTCTGCACTACGGATGACATGGTCGAATTACACTCTACTTGTTGGAGAGGCGAGGCCGTACGAGACAACACATTCAAAAACTTGCGGAGGTACTGGCATGTCAAAGTGCTGCGGAACCGTTAGCACTTTTCGGGAGTTCCGCAGTGCTTTGTAAAACTCCCGCGGAGGTTCCCGTTTCCAACCAGTCCGACGTGGAATTCTGCAAAAGTTCCCATTTCAACGTTTCCGCTTTTGCAATAGTAAACAAATCCTACGAAACCGCTGCAATTTTTGCTTGTCCTGCGGAAGTTCCGGTAAAATGTCTGAGATTGAATGTTTGATCTGAACACCTCAGACCACACAATGTAGAGCGAAACTTTACGCTTTTCCACATTTTCCGTTTTTATTCAGAAAAATTCATTGCTATAACAGCTCTGGTCTTAAGACACACTTGATTGAAACTAGCACCAATCCAATAAGAATAATACTGTTCCCTAGGAGAATAGAAATAGCACAGAAAGTAACAGCTACAAATTTCTGGGGTAATCCTTACAAAAAGATGAAATCTACTGCATTCGAATCTCAGCTTACCACTGAAAATTAGTTATGTATTTCTTGCCTTTTCCGATATATGCTTGAAGTAGAAGCTCCCAGATTGTCACCCATTTCGTTGTTGTGTAGTGAACGCTAAATCAAATCTGTTTATAGGGTAGTGTGACTTGTTATCTCTTCGCTGATGGTGACAAGGAACAACGTTCCTCTGCTGCTTATCAATGCTACTCTCTTCACCGCGACTCGGTGAAACCGCCTCAGTACACAAGAAAACTGAGTTTCATCAAAACGGCTTCGGGATGGACGCTTAAGCTTTATGGAGAAAAGCAAGTAGCTGATTGAAATTTTCGATCACGCCGACGAAGTGTAGTTAGTGCAGTGAACATTTGTACTGAGATGTTCGCCAAGAATAAACTTAGTTGTTAGATACTTGTGAAATTGGCAACATATCTGTAGAGTATGTATTGTTCATTTGTGGATCCACAAGCAAAATTTGCAAGATTAAAGAATTGAAGGGCTTGAACCTTTCATGCACTGCATCCAGCAAGCAAACTCACAGTCTCATCAATATTTGATTGAAGTTTACATACTGTATACCTTAATGTAAATAAGAATTACGGTTGAAGATCGAAGGGTAAAAGGATCACATACCTCCAATTACACAACGCACTATAACAACAGTTGGTGCAAAAAAGTATTTAAATGAATTGATTCGATTGTGGGAAGAAACACGAGTTCAACAAGGATAGTTGGAAATTTCCAAAAAGCTGGTAGAACCAAACCATTTCGTCGCGAAGAAGAGGAGACGAAGCAACTCCAGAGCACACTCTATGAATACCTCAAAGCACTTCTATAAATATATGCTTTTCTGACTGATAGTGATACCTTGAAAAATTTCATTCAGTAGACGACTTTTTATATTCTGGTCTGCGATCAGTCATGGTATGCACCAACAAAGACGGGATTCATACACTTGGAAACCTTTGCGTAAAAAAACCTGTAGAAAAAGAAGTAAAAATCTAAGCTTTCGGCTGTAAACCTAAAAACGATTTTTGCATTCATCAAGTTCAACAAAATATCTAAAAGAATAACAAAAGCAATTGCACTTCTACCTGTTCTGGTTGAGCTATGTACTTTTTGAAATTGTTGCAAAAGAATTAACTGCCTCTTCTACATGATGGCATAGATCAAATATATTAGGCTGTCCCAAAAGTCTTTTCATACTTTTGCAGTTTCCACTGAGTTTCTATTGACATAATTCAGTTTATATTCCTAAGACATGGGGGAGGGTGCCATTCGACCGATCAAAGTAAACTTCATAAGATGGTGCTCAAAAGTTTTCGACAAGCTTGATCTGCTAGCAAGCCAAAGTAAAAAAATTTTGAGTTTCCGAAGAAACGAAAATAATCGTATTCCATTTCAGAACAACTCTGCGAATTTCCTACTCGCTGACGCATCACTCTCCCCAACAGCTTGTACATACATTTGCTGCAATTTTCTGATGGCTGGAAATCAAAAAAACGTAATGCGTTTATTTCCAAATTTTGCCTATAACAGTTTTGTGTTCTTCGCAAATATATGGTGACATACAAGATGCCCCAGAAGTAAGTACACGCTTTTTGATCCTTAATAACTCTCTTCCCACTAATTGTAAGTTTTTTCCTTAGCTTCAAGATACTATTTAGTATAGGAGGCTTTAAAGGAGGCAGTATGGAGCGAATCGCTTCAACTTCATCCGATAACAATTCATGAGTTTTTAACAGTTTTGAATGACTGAAAAAAACGTCGTTGCGGTTCACTTTTAACTTATGAAAAAGCCTTACGGTAAAGGGGGCGAGTCTCATCTTAATAATCGGCAATTCAGTTTAGTATGAAAATAGAGTTCTCGGCTTGTTGAGTGTTTATTCTGGGACAATATGTAGCCACTGATGGTTCAAAACTCTTTACAAAGTCCCTACCGTAATCCTATAACTGATGAAACTGGTGGATGATTCGCTCCATACTGCAAACCTTCTTTGTTAAATCCTTCTCCACTGAATGGACTCAAAGCTAAAGAAAGACTTAGTGAGAAGAGAATTGTTAAATCAAATAGTGTGTACTTATTTTTGGGACATTTTGTAGCTTGACTCAGAAACAGCCTTATAGGTGCCCTAATTTTTGAGAAATCAATTTGAATATTTGTATATGAAAAGACTTATGGAACAACCTAATGTAAAGAAAGCTTGACTGAATAGGTTCCTTGGATGTTACACCTGAATTTTTGAAGGTGCACTTGATTTTGTCACATTTATTTACATCAACGAACAAAATGATGTGCTAGAAAATTCTCAAATGATATAGAGCGCCCTCATCGCACCAAACCTAAAACTCCTGTACAGTCTACCACATTTGCTTCTAGTTGATTGCGTAATGTTGACATCATACATATCTTTCTTGTATTAAGAATTCAAATATGAAGCTGAAACATTTTTCTAAATTCGAAAGAAGTGGAGGAATCCCAGAGAGGGAAGAAAAATTAAAATTTTATGTATAGGAGAAGGGGTTGAGAAGCTAACAATAATACAACTTTTCAAATACGCACTTCAGTTTCAGTTTTCGTGCGTACTGAATACTTTTTTGTGGCACTGATCCACATTTGAAAATATCATATGAATTGCAGGCCAATGACAGTTCTGACTAACCGGAATTGCGAATACCAACATTAACCAGATTCATCAATTAACTGCCGCATCTCAAAGCATTTGGATAGAGAAAAATTGAATTTCTCTGATGAGCTGAGTTTATCTGCTTGCAGATTTGAAAACTACTTTTCCTTCTTTATAAAAGTATGACTAACTGCCATCTAAATAAAACGAACTAAGGATTTTTCCTTTCCACAAGCGAATATGCAATTCTCCAATTTCCGCTTTTCTCAACACGATCGAAAAGACGTAGAGAGGGCAGAAAACTTTAGATGTGGGTCCATGTAGAACTTCGTTCGGTACCATGCCTTTTTGATGCAAGATGGAATGGATGCACTAAAATAGGAAAATATGGATATTCGAATGGAGTACTTGCTTCCAATCGCGAAGCAAACAACCGAATGCATTCGTTGGAAATGAACGTCGTAAAAACAAGAAATCGAGATACTGACGCTGTTTTTAGATTTCAAGTTTCGATCCATATTTTATACAAGCACATTAGCTTGCACTTCCGAATTCAAAGCACTTTAGCGCAGATAACAAAGTTGTTCAAAAATTGGCAAGTAGCATAGGTAAGGAAATGGTACAAGAAAAGACAAAAAAAGGACAAGTGTTTCGTCCTCGAGAAAAGGTAAGCTATGCATATATCGGAGACCTGGACCAAATTCATCTGTAACTAAAAGTTTGCTGCATAAGTTTTGGCTGTCATGCAAGTTTCAAGTTTAAAAGATTATGACTTTTTCCAAAGTATCGTCCCAATATCCCTGTGGATTTGGCAAGCTTGTGGCTACAATGAAATATGCCCATTTTCAAAACATCATTATTTAACAAGTGCTGCGAACGGCGAGACATAGTTGGTATATGGTCCCTTCCAGCTTTTGCTGTACTCTATCACCTACAAGTTTCGAGTCTCCAACTGTCTAGAGTCAAATAAATCACAGATTGCCTATAGGTCATTTACATAAATGATGCTGTAGCAACAATTTCCACAAGTAAGACTTGGATTGAGCAAGATTTTAGCCATTATATAGGTATTAAACCCTAAAAATCTAAACGAAGCAAGAGCTCAAAAGTTTTGAGACGTTTTTTCTAACCTGTCTTTGTTACATAGAAGTGAATTTGCGCATATGCCTTTGAACTTACTCAGCACCAATACAATGGCTTGACTCGACGAGCGGATTGCGGCACTTTTCGCACAAGAATAGCTGTATTTCTTATGTAGTACCGTTCTTTGGCTACCTGAGATCTCAGGCTTGAAACGTTGTTAGACGAAGAGGCAAAAAAGAAAGTTTTTTGGTTATAAAGATTACTGCATTGGAGGATGAAATCTCTCCAAACAGCTGCTCGAAAACAAAGCAACCAAAACGGGTAGAACTTATGCACCGACTTACTTATTTGAAGATCTTTAAAGAATCTATGTTATGCCTACCTTTTGCCGTCTCTTTACTATCGCCTAAAGTTAGGTTTTTTAGCTACTAGTGTATTCTAACAAATACGCTGTAAAAGTGCTGTAATTTACCTAGCCGACAGCACAATGTTGGTTGAAAAACTAGCCATTAGAATAGGAGCCACCTGCTTTACTGCCAGCCTCGCCTGTCTGGCAATGGTGTCATCACAGTATAGTATCATCAACGAACTTTACGCTGAGATCGTCGACGGCGTCGGGGGTTGAGGTCGACATCGACTCAGCCTGGGCTTATATGATGGACTACCAAGTGACTGTCTCCCCACCCGCCAAACCTCATCAGAACCCCTTCAGCTCCATTTTCCATGAGAAAAGATAGCCCTCTCCTCGTACCGCCGGTGCACGCCTCCCACCATTAATTGCCCTGCCAGGACCGCCAGGCCCACCAGGACAGCCTGGACGTGCCACTCAATATATTCTCACAATTCTCCTGTTTTTCTAGATGCAAGGGGAAGAGAGGAATTCTTTCCAGGACAACCCGGTCATCGTTGAAAGACAGGACAACACGGTCCCAGTGGTCCAGGCTACTTTAGCTCCTATTAAATGCCCTCCACAGAACACCACCTGCATTGATTGCCCACCAGGACCACTCAGGTTCACCCGGACAAGATGTCCAGAGTGGAAATCCCGGATTATGTGGGCAGCCAGGACCTTCTGGAGCACCGACGAACGATGCAGCTTAGACCGCTAAACCCACCTGAAGACGCAGGCTCTCCTGGAAGCACCAGGAATCCACGACAGGACGGTATCGCCGGTACCGTAGGTGTGCTTGGAGGCGTGCTAACTGAGTCTCAAGGTCCACCCGGTGATAACGGAGTGCTTGGAGAGTCCAGATGCGATGCGGCCGGAACAATTCGGACCAGCTTGACAACATGGAATACCATGTGTACTGGAAGAGATGCCTACTGTACTTTCCCTAACCACTCTACGCTTATGTTAGCCCTAGTCCAAGTCCTAGCCAAGCTCCGGCAGCGGCTTATTCAGTCAAGGCTAAGAAACTCAAGAAGCATTAAAGGCAGCGTACACCCAAAATCTAAGTTGCCTAATTTTCTAGATTTTTCTACACCATGTATATACTGGGCCCAGAAGAAGACCAACTGCGTTGGTCCGGTCTCCCAATGTTGCTTCTGAGCGGAGAAAACTCCCTCAATTTTCTTTCACGCCGCCCCTTTTCTTTCGCTCCGCCTCCTCCGGACGAATCCATAACAGCGTAAGCTGCAATTGCTGTTGCAACATCTGTTGCATTTGTTTTGGGCGGAGGCAGCGTACACCCAAAACAAATGCAACAGATGTTGCAACAGCAACTGCAACTGCAATTGCAGCTTACGCTGTTATGGATTCGTCCGGAGGAGGCGGAGCGAAAGAAAAGGGGCGGCATGAAAGAAAATTGAGGGGGGTTTTCTCCGCTCAGCAGCAACATTGGGAGACCGGATCAACGCAGTTGGTCTTCTTCTGGGCCCAGTATATACACGGTGTAGAAAGATCTTGGAAATTCGGTAACTCAAATTTTGGGTGTACGCTGCCTTTAAGCACCTCTTTTGAATCCTTTTCGTGTCTTTTTAATAATGTTCGCAAATAAAGATGCTTTGCACTTGAACAAAGAGAAAAGAAAATTCGCAACATTTTGTCATAAGAGATTCTGAATGACATCACAGATTTAAAAAAGTTATTGATATTCATTACCACTCAACTACAAAGTCCTGTATGGGTCGCGGAACTTTTCAAAAACAACTCATGCTCTTGATGATTGCTAATAACATGTGGATTTCCACAATGCGCATTTTCTAATTTCTTTCAATAACTATTTGGATTTTTTTTAATTTTTAGTACCAGGATACCACATAGCAAAATCTGCAATGTTTTTATGTAGCGCAAAATTTATTCACACTCGGTACGTCAACCACAGGAAAGGTGAAATGTAATATATCACTGTGGCACTATGTTCCACAGACAAATATTGACCATCTTGAGCATTGTCCTGGGATCTCAAATTCAATCATTGGTAGTAGGAAAAAACGAATTTGAAACATACAACAAAGTTTCGCCAGAAGCAGCTTAACATGACCAACTTACTTTGTTGGTAGTACCATGCTGTACTATTCTTCCGAAGTTTTCCTGTAGCTTTAGCAAAATGTTCCTTGCGATGTTCCAATATAATTGTGACATGAAAGAATTGGTAGACTAACTGTTGGAAGAAGTGGTTCCAAAAGAGGACGAACAATCACGCCCATTTTTTTACCGTGAGAAGAACAGTGCATGAATGGCCTACACTCTGAGTTTGGCTGTAAGGTCATTGGTAGGATAGAGTACAAAACTAGCAGACTACACAAGTCATTTATACAGATATCTCGGATGCTATTAAGTTGGCTAGTAAGAACAATTTTTCTTCTAATCTTTATTTAGAAAGATCTTAGAAAATTGGTTGAGAAAATTTGAATATTTTTCTTCAATGAACCATTTCGTCATCAAATTAACTTTCTTTCAAACATTTATTTGAGGGTACGATTCTGCTTGTTGTTCTTTCGAACTGCCATGCATTCATATATTTATCAAATTGTAACACGAACGTCAAAAATGACCGAACTTATTTTTTATCCAACTTAATAGCTTGCTTCTTCAAAAATCAGTTTGTGAATTTGTCAACAGTGGATGCAATACTCCTTGATAATACAAGCACAATTTATGTGTTGCGTTTGGATAGAATCAATTTTTTGAACAATAATAAGTTTTGAGTTTTGTCCACGAGTTTTGTCCTTGCAATTTATTGATTACAGAAACCGTTTACATAATATAAGAGAGAAGTTAAAACCAAAACGCAAGCTCTTTTCTGTGATTGCTGCTGGTAATAACTTTTTTTAATTCATAAATTGTTACTGAGCAAGTAAAAAAATTTTATACTCATTTTTCTGGAATTATTAGAGCAAAAAATGACTCCATAGAGTAAAGAACGTTGCAACTTCCCACCATATTCTTACTTTAGCGAAAAGGAGACGATATACTTGGCAAGTAATACTTTTTTTATCAGAATCTCTCTTCAGTGTACTAAATATTCCAATAACATTCATGAATATTTATTCGTGATCAGTTCCTGACTTGCGGTAAACCTGTAGGCCGTAACCTTTTAACAAACAAAAATTTTGCAAAATCTACATTTCCATATTTTTTTGGTGTTACGGCTGGCTTGGTTTGCCTTTGGGCGAGTTGTCAGAATAATCAACATTGAATTTGAAACCACATCGAGATTACCAAGCAACAACTGTTTGTCCATGGAGACTCCAAGACTACGCTGATTCTGAGTTAGCAACGACTCTCGGAGGGATTCAGAAGTGGCTTTGCGTTTGCTAGCGACTGGTTGCTCGGACCATGAAATCTGCGATCCTCGCCGTGCTCGTCGTGCTTGTCTTACAGGTAGGCTTCGGCATGGTACCATATGTATTACTGGAAGTTCAGGTGGAATGGACTTTGCCTTGCACCTTCCAACGTGAGGATGTACTGCACGGTGAACGTTCGGGTCTGTCAGTGATTACCGAAACGGAATGCTTTGCTAAGTGCCTCAATCAACAGAAGTGCACAGGCATTTGCTATTGGCAGGTAAGCTTCAAAAGAATGCTAGATGAAATGCAGAATTTACTCGTTATTTTGACTGCGGAACGCCCTGGTAACTCATACAACTGACCGGAGCTTCCGCAGAACGTTTGGGGAAGTTCCTCCGGGTCACCTGCAGAAGTTCCGCAGATGTGCTGCTGAATTTCCGAAAAATGCAAATCACAGCTGCAAAAGAGAACACCTAAGCGAGGTTTGAACCTTACTCTATTGACTGCAAGACTCCTGCTATCCATTGCACAAAGGATGACAAGGTCAGAAATGCACCCTATTTGTTGGCGAGGCAAGGTCGTACGACAGCACATTCAAAAACCTGCGGAAGTATTGGCATGTCAAAATGCTGCGGAACCGCTGACATTTTTCGGAAGTTTCACACGCTTCTGTAAAAGTCCTGCGGAGGTTCCTTTTCCAACCAGTCCGATCTGGAATTCTGCAAAAGTTCCCATTTTCAACGTTTCCATTTTTGCAATAGTAAACAAAATCCTACGGAACCGTTGCAATTTTTGCTTGTCCTGCGGATGCTCCGGTGAATTGTCTGAGACTGAATGGTTGACTTGAACACCTGAGACCACACACTATAGGGGGAACTTTCTACAATTTCCGTTTTTAAGCAGAAAAATATATTGCTACAGCAGCTCTGGTCTTAAGACACACTTGATTGAAACTAGCATCAACCTAATAAGGATAATACTATACCCAGGGTAATAATCAGCGCAGCGCAGAAAGTTAACGGCTACAAATAATTCCTGAGACAATCTTTATGAAAAGATGAAATCTCCTGCATTTGAGTCTCAGCTTACGACTGAAAAATGGTTATGTGTTTCTTACCTTTTCCGATATATGCTTGACGTAGAAGCTTCCAGATTGTCACCTATTTCGTTGTCGCGTAGTGGCTATACCGAATCTGTTTATAGACTCAACGGCAGTGTATTCTCTTCGATGATGGTGACAAGGAACAACGTTCCTTTTTCGGCCAATGCTACTCTCTTCACCGCGACTCGATGAAACCGCCTCAGTACACAAGAAAACTGAGTTTCATCAAAAAGGGTTCGAGATGGAGGCTTGCGTAATGCTTCATAGGAGAAAAGCAAGTAGCTGATTGAGAATTTCGATCAAACCGACGAAGTGTAGTTAGTTGCAGTGAACGTTTGCACTGAGATGTTCGCCAAGAATAAACTTAGTTGATGCTTGTGAAATTGCCAACGTATCTTTGGAGCACGTATTGCTAATTTGTAATTCCACAAGCAAAATGTGCAAGATCAAAGAATTGAAGGGTTTGAACCTTTCATACACTGCATCCAACAAGCCACTCACACTCTCATTTTGAAGATTACAAACTGTGTACCTCAAGGTAGATAAACACTACGGTTGCAGGTCGGAGAGTAAAAGGATTACATTCCTTCTATTACACAATATAATATAGATCAAATCGACTGTGGAAAGAAACATGAGTTCAACAAGGATAGTTGGAAATTTCCAAAAAGTGTGTAGGACCAAACCATTTCTCCGCGAAGAAGGGAAAACGAAGCAACTTTAGAGCAAACTCTCTGGATACCTTGAACCATTCTTATAATATGTTTTTCTGATTGTTAGTTCTACCTATTAAAAGATTTTGTTCAAAATTCATAATAAAATTTCATTCAGTGAGCGACTCCACATGTTTTGGTCGGCGATACAGTCATGGTAACGTAATTTTATTTATGACATATGCACTAACAAAAACCGGGATTCGTACAAAAGCAAAAATCTTCTACAAAAAGTAATAAAAATTTAGGCCCTCGGCGGTAAACCTAAGAATAATTCTTTAAATTCATTAAGCCCCATTCATCAAAATTTCTAAAAGATACAAGAGCAATCGTAGTCCTCTCTGTTATGATTGAGCTATGTACAACTATCGATATCGGTGTAAACTTTCTAACGATAACCAATAGTTTAATTGAAATTCTTGCAAAAATGGGTGCTGCTCTTCTACACGAGGGCGTAGATCAACTATGTTACTAGAAAGCTCCTTAAATCGAACGAAGCGATTGGAGTACTGTTGTTAGATAAAACGAGTAACGAATTTAGTGAATCGTCGATCTGAATAGATTTCCTGGATGCTACATCTGAAGCCTTTACCGATGCTCTTGATTTTGTCGCATATTTACATCAATGATCAGAAAACTGATTTGCTAAAATATTCTTCAGTGATATGAAACGTCCTCATCACAACAAACCTCAACCCTTGTACAATCTAGCAATTTTACTTCAAGCTTGATCGCGTAATGCTGACATCATACACATGTTTTCTGCTTCGAGAACTCAAATATGAGGCTGAAACATTTTCTTCAAATTCGTTTAAGGGAGTGTTGAGGGATCTCAGGAAGAGAGAAATCGAAATTTTTATGTAAAGGAAAAGGGACGATACAGAGCTTATATAATAATGCAACTCTAAGTATAGTTCATTTTCAGTTTTCTTTCGCCCTTAACGAGCACTTTATTCAGTGGTGCTGATCCATACATGTAAATCGTTTGAACTTCCTTTTCCAACAATGATCAAAACTCATCTTACGTGTCACATTCCTATGGAATTAGGAAGAGAAAATCGAATGATGAGCTGAGTTCCTCTACTTACACAGTTGAAATTACCTTTCTTTATCACAAAACAAACCAACTGCCATAAGAGAAATGAACCAAAAGTCGTTTTTCCATATCACAAGCGAATATGCAATTCTCCACTTCCCGTTTTTTCAGCACATTGAAAAGACGTAGACAGGGCAAAGAAGTTTAGATGCGGATTCACGTAGATGTTTGGTGGAGTGCCCTTTCCATGCAAGAGGGAATGGATGCACTAAAACAATAGTAAAATATGCATTTTCTAATGGCATACTTGCTTCCAATCGCGATGCAAACAACCGAATACATTCGTTGGAATAGAACGTCGTAAAATCAAGAAATCGAAATACTGACGCTGTTTTCACATCTCAGTCATATTTTATACAAGCACGTTAGCTTGCACTTCCGAATTCAAAAGCACTTTAGCGCAGATAACAAAGTTGTTCAAAAATTGGCAAGTAGCATAGGTAAGGAAATGGTACGAGCAAAAGACAAAAAAGGACAAATGTTCCGTCCTCGAGAAAAGGTAAGCTATGCATATATGGGAGACCTGGACCAAATCCATCTGTAACTAAAAGGTTGCTGCATAAGTTTTGGCTATCATGCAAGTTTCAAGTTTAAAAGATTATGACTTTTTCCAAAGTATCGTCCCAATATCCCTGTGAATTTGGCAAGCTTGTGGCTATCAGATAGATAGTAAGCCCTATAAATACGCCAATGAAGAAGAAGCGAGCTCAATAATTTTGGAAAGCAAAATTTTCTTCAACCTGATCCTTTTTTGAATATGGTGATGCTCCTTTATAAGGAGTGGCAACATAATTATAATTAGCTACCAATGGTAGATAGCGACTTTTTGAAAACTATTCAATGGCCAAAATATTTCAGTCCTTGGGTCTCAAAATTTCTTTGAGGAATTAAAAAAGTTATTTTTGGCCATTTGTACAATGAAATATGTCCATTTTCAAAACATCATTATTTAACAAGTGCTGCGAACGGCGAGACATAGTTGGTAAATGGTCCCTTCCAGCTTTTGCTGTACTCTATCACCTACAAGTTTCGAGTCTCCAACTGTCTAGATTCAAATAAGTCACAGATTGCCTATAGGTCATTTACATAAATAAGGTTGTAGCAACAATTTCCACAAGTAAGACTTGGATTGAGCAAGATTTTAGCCATTATATAGGTATTAAACCCTAAAAATCTAAACGAAGCAAGAGCTCAAAAGTTTTGAAACGTTTTTTCAAACCTGTTTTTATTACATAGAAGTGAATTTGCGCATATGCCTTTGAACTTACTCAGCACCAATACAATGGCTTGACTCGACGAGCGGATTGTGGCACTTTTCTTACAAGAATAGCTGTATTTTTTTATGTAGTACCGTTCTTTGGCCACCTGAGATCTTAGGCTTGAAACTTTGTTAGACGAAGAAGCAAAAAAGAAAGTTTTTTGGTTATAAAGATAACCGCATTGGAGGATAAAATCTCTCCAAACAGCTGCTTCGAACACAAAGCAACAAAAACAAATAGACTTATGCACCAACCTACTAATTTGAGAATGTTTGAAGAATCCATGTTATGCCTACTTTTTGCAGTCTAATTTGCTATCGCCTGAAGTTAAGTCTTTTACACTCGTGTTCTTCGTATTTTAACCAATGCGCTGTAAAAGCCCTGTAATATACCTAGCCATCAGCACAATATTCGTTGAGAAACTAGCCATTGGAGGAGGAGCCACCTGCTCCACTCTGGCTATCATTGCCTGCTTGGCAACGGTGTCATGACTGTACAGTGACATCAACGAACTTCACGCTAACGTCCTCGATGGCGTCGCGGTATTTCGTATGTCGAGACCGAACCAGCATAGGATCAAGTGATGGACTATCAAGTAACTGCCTCCTCACCTGCCAAGCCTGGTCAGAACCCCTTCAACTCCATCTTTTGCGAGAAAAGACAGGCTCTCCCTTCATACTGCCAGTGCACACCTCCCAC